ACAAATAATTCCAACTCCAGGAGTACACAATAGGAAATGATTAGCCAGATGGTCATAAGAATGACCATCTTATACAACTGGAAATTTTCACAAGGTACAGACTGTCTTTTTGATCCAATTAATCTTCAGTTAAGCAAAGTGAGCATGGTTATTGCTTACTGGGAAGCCAAGCAATGGAGAAAGAAATGGGTTAGTAATTAGATATGGAAGATCTCAACTGAATTTTAAAAAGTAAATGGATTCTATGAAATATTAATATATAATAGATTATAACAGGCTACACAAATGTCAGCTATGGCCCATGCAATTTAGGGCAAAGTATGCATATATTTATTAAACAAGGGACTGCTAGTATTTTGAGCCATGATTTCACACAATCACAGTGAAGCCAATGTCATACTTGAATGTGCATTTTGAGACATGTTAAAATATATGTTTTTATGTATTGTTTGTAAATTTAATGCCAAATATATTATTGGTCAAGCACTGTAGATGCTATACTTTAAAGGTAAAGTAAAATGTGTTCTACTGCCCCACTTTGAAAGAAAAACAAAACCTACTTAAGAGGCAGGAAGATATTACAATGATAACCTTTAGTATTATAAATTCTTCTGTTGAACATTCACTTTTTACTTACTCTATGGAGGGCTTATGTGTGACCTCTGCTGTCCAATAAGGTAAGAAACTAGCTACATGTAGCTATTGAGCACTTGAAAGGTGGCTAGCCCAAAGTGAGATGTGCTGTCAATGTAAAATACACACCAGATTTTAAAGACTTGATGAAAAAATTACCTTGTTAATAATTTTATATTGATTGCATGTTATAATGACAATATTTTAGCTATACTGAGTTAAATATTTTGTTAAAATTAAATTTATCTGTTTCTTGTGAATTTTTTTAATATGGCTATTAGAAAATGTGAAATTTTACATGTAGCTCACGTTTGTGGCTCCTTTTTGTGCTAGAAAATAGGATTGGGTAATTGGAAGATATAGACTGTCCTCAGAGTGCATAAAGAGTGGAGGAGAGGGAAGGAGAGGAAAAAAATTATAGTAAGGGACTGGGTTTCAAACTACAACCCAAAAGCAAAAAGTAAAAAGGCGCCAGTCTTTATTTTTTTGTAAGGAGTCACTGGATAATGGGAAGGAGGGGGTGGTGTGGGAGGATTCTCAAATTTGCTAATTAAAGGTATTTCTGTCTTTCTGGTTTAGACAGCCTTATTTTGCGTAAATATTCAGTCGATTTAAAATTTAATTCCCCGTTAGGGCTGTTTCTCCTCCAGTCTTCTACTTGGCAGGATGACATCCTGGGTTTTTTGTTTGTTTGTTTGTTTTTTCATATGGAGTCTCCCTCTGTCACCAGGCTGGAGTGCAGTGGCGTGATCTCGGCTCACCGCAACCTCAGCCTCCTGGGTTCAAGCAATTTTCCTGCCTTCAGCCTCCCAGGTAGCTGGGACTATCGGCACGTACCACCATACCCAGTTAATTTTTGTGTTTTTAGTAGAAATGAGGTTTCCATGTTGGTCAGGATGGTCTCGATCTCTTGACCTCGTGATCTGCCCACCTCGGCCTCCCAAAGTGCTGGGATTGCAGGTGTGAGCCACCGCGCCAACATCTGGGTTTTATAGAACTTACTGGGTTGATGTTATATCAGAAGAGGGGGCTCGGCCCTACATGTAGGTTTTTGTACTGGCTCTCTGCTGACCAGGCCCCTGTTTTGGCTTTCTCTATGCTGTACAATCCTAAAACGAACCACAGCTTTCATTTGATGCTCTCATCTGCCCTATTACAGCCCTCAGCTACTGGCTCACGGGGCCCCCTTTGCAGCAAAAATTTTCAATCCTGCCAACCAGAATTTCAAGCTGTCTCCTGACAATTAGCAATTACAATATAGTTCAGGTGCTGTACAAAGAAACATGCCCAAAGGATAATGGAGTTCAAAGATGTATCTAATTCAGCCTGGTGGTAAAGAAAGCCTTCCCCAAGCAGATTTGTAAATCTGTATTGAACATTACAATGTGCCAGGCACTGTTCTAGGTTCAGAGACTGTCTGTGGTGAAAAAGAAAGACACAATTTCTGATTCAGTGAAGCTTAGTGATGGAAGACAGAACATTATGTAAGAAAAATAATAAATGAGCTGAGGTTTCTTCAGGTAGCGATGACCCTATGAATAAAATAATGCAGCTAATGACATAGCAGATGACTGTGGGGTGGGTATGTGCATTATGAGGTGGTTAGGAAAGATCTCTCTGAAATAGCGACACTTAAGCTGAGACTTGAAGGATGAGAAGCAGCCAGTCTGTGAAGCTCTGGGAGCAGAATGATGCAAGAGGAGGGAACAGTAAGGATGAAGTCCCTGAGACAGGAACAGGCTTGGACTGTTTGAAGAACAGGAAACAAAGATCCATGTGTCAGAGCTGAGTTTTTAAGGACTAACAGGAGTTATCTGGGTTGTGGACCAAAGGGCAGGAAGAAGAGGACAGGGATGGGAAGTCATTTTAGAGAAGGGGATCCGTACACTGCACCAAGTGGAAACTGAAACTTTAATCAGGAGTAATAAAGTGGCCAGGCACAATGGCTCATGCTTGTAATCCCAGCAGTTTTGGAGGCTGAAGGGGGAGGACTACTTTCACTGGAGACCAGGGGTTTGAGACCGGCCTGGCATGTGAGATCCCATTTCTTTAAAAAAAAAAAAAAAAGAAAAGAAAAGAAAAGAAAGAAAAAGAAAGAAAGAAAAAAAGTAATAAAGTTGAAGCTGTGGTAACAGTGCAATCTCTCTTGTCCTAGAGTAGGTTGTAATTTTTTTTTTTCTGTACCATTGGGAAATAAAGGAATTAGTTCAATGGAGTGTTCTTCCCTCACTAGGATCCTAAGTTCCTTAGTTACCTGCTAACTTGTAAATATTTGAATAATAGCTACCATTTTATTGAGCATCTACTATTTTGTAGGTGTTGTAATAGGTGTCTTAGGAATATTACCCTACCAAGCAAACTCCAAGTAGATATCATTCCCAGTTTACAACTGAAGAACTGAGCCTCAGAGAGCTTAAGTAATTTGCCCACAGTAAATGGCAAAGCTGGGGTTCAAACCCAGATCTCTGCCAAAACTCATGCTCTTTTCACTATTCTATGTACCATAAAAAGCACAGTTGTATCCAGAGATTAGAAAGGCAAGACGGGTAGCTTCATCCGAGAGGGCTCAGAGGACGGAACTCATTTGTTTGAGGAAGTGAACATGCTCAAGGATTTAGTGCTTGCCTTTGTGGGCTCAGAAACAAACTCATATCAACCAAGCTTATGATGCTTATTATGATTTGATCAGAATGCCAATTTCAAATATGGTTACCTGGAAATATGTAATCAAGAATGTAGAGTGTCAATTCACAAACAGGTTTTAAGAAGCACTTTTTAAAGATATTCTTGACACATGCAGGTATGTTCTAAGATTAATAACATGTTCCTGTATATGGGACAAAGTACAGGGGTTCTAACTGGCGGTTTCCAGCTAGCAAACTAAATGCTACTATGCAAAAATCATTTAAAAATACTAAGTTTTTTATCCCAACCTAACCTTGCTCTCAAAACCAGAGTCACAAACTGTAGCAAATATTAAGATAAATGATAACTAAGGGGTAACATGCCAAGAACTGTCAACACTGTTACCAAAGCTGAATACTAAAGAAAAAGTGGAGGAAAAAATGGAAAGTTTGGTTGCCATTTTGAATATTGGCTTGAGGCTCAGTTTCTGAGCTGAGAAAGGGATTCTAAATCATTGCACCCACATATTGAATACTTATAGTTTAAAAAGGTAGTAAAGGCCGGGTGTGGTGGCTCACACCTATAATCCCAGCAGTTTGGGAGGCCGAGGCAGGTGGGTCATTTGAGGTCAGGAGTTCGAGACCAGCCTGACCAACATGGTGAAACCCCATCTCTGCTAAAAATACAAAAATTAGCCAGGTGTGGTGGTGCATACCTGTAGTCTCAACTACTTGGGAGGCAGAGGTTGCGGTGAGCTGAGATTGCGCCTCTGCACTTCAGGCTGGGTGACAGAGCAAGACTGTCTCAAAAAAAAAAAAAAAGTAGTAAAATGTATGTATAGTAAATATGAAAACTTTAATATTTCTTGATTTAGATGTTTGTTTCTTGGTTCTCCTAGTTTAAATGAAGAAAAACATTTATTGCTGTATTAACTTTTAGTTTTGTGGACTTTAATCCTTTAAAAGTAGAACTTTGTGTTTCATTTCTCTGCTGAACATAAGTGCTACAGAATACAAATGGTGGGTTTAGGCATGACCTGTTTTTCTTTTTTTTTTTTCAGAGGGAGTCTTGCTCTGTCGGCCAGGCTGGAGTGCAGCGGCACAATCTCAGCTCACTGCAACCTCTGCCTCTTGGGTTCAGGAGATTCTCTTGCCTCAGCCTCCTGAGTAGCTGGGATTACAGGCACCTGCCATCACACCCCGCTAATTTTTTTTTTTTGTAAAGACGGGGTGTCCCCATGTTGGCCAGGCTGGTCTCAAACTCCTGACCTCAAGCGATCTGCCCCTTTTGGCCTCCCAAAGTGCTAGGATTACAGGCTGAGCCACTGCACCTGGCTGGCATGACCTGTTTTAGTCTGTGCAAACATGTGGCTACTTGCACTAAAGTGACAAATAGTTGTAGTGCGCCTTTGCTTTTTTTTTCTCTTGACTTCTTAGTATGTGGATCTCTTTTCTACATTCAGAGAATTCCCTGTGAACATTTCTTGATGTCTTCCTTCCACAATAAGAAGATGGGAGCAACAGATAATCACTTTCCCAGATCACCTAACAGTTGGAAAGAAAGCATATGACCTGGGTTCGGCCAGTCAGATGCATCTAAGTGGGACTTTTAATCTGAAGCGAGTGTTGGAAAGAAGCAAAGCAAGTGGACGGTTCTTTCTGACAATGGCTGCCATGGCTGCACTGCCTGTTCTCTAGGGGCAAAGGCCAAGAGACTCCCAGCAGCACCAGCTCACCTGCACCATGGGCTCCATCTCTGAGCTCACCTGCATCTACTCAGCGCCCATTCTGCCTGATGAGGTGACCATCATGGAAGATAAAATGAATGCCACCATTAAAGTAGCTGGTGTAAATGTTGAACCTTTCTGGCCTGGCTTGTTTGCAGAGGCCCTGGACAATGTCAACATCAGGAGCCTCATATGTGATGGAGAGGCCGGTGGACCTGTTCCAGCACCTGGTGCTGCACCAACAGGAGGTCCTGCTCCCTCCAGCACTGCAGCTCAAGCTGAAGAGTAGGAAGTGGAACCAAAGAAAGAAGAATCTGAGGAGTCTGATGATGCATGGGCTTTGGTCTTTTTGGACTAAACCTCTTTTGTAACATGCTCAATAAAATAGCCAGACTCTCAGAACAGACACACACACACACACACACACACACACACACACACACACACACACAATTTGTTCTTTCATAACCCATATGGGCACTGGGAGATTACGAACATGGAATTTTAACTGATACGTGTTATCATCCAACTCTGCCTGTATCTTTTTTTAATCCATCCTTGTGAAATCCAGAAAAGTAATATGAAAATGGCATGGACCTTGGTGAAGGGGGTGGCACATGGAGAACATCACTGTCAATACTCCTGGCTTCTCCATACCCACTTACTCCCTCCTCCTCCAAGAGGAAAGACTGATTTATCTAATTTAAGGGTTGGAAGAAGAAACCGGGAAGTTGTGGCCCAGCTGGTTCCCCTCCCTCTTGGGAGCCACCTCCAGCCTGCATGAGCTCTGTTGCCCTTACCATGTAGTAAGCTTGCAGTACCAGCCCTGCCCTTCTGAAAGAGGCCTGTCCTGGTGTACCCTTGCCTGTGCCTGGGAGGGTGCATCTGCAATTCAGAGGTTGAGCCTTAGGAAGCCCACTAATACTGTACACACCTGGACCATGTCCTTTATCTTGACTCTTAGCAGTAATATAGGCAAACTTTAGTCTTATTCAGCAATCGTTTGAGAACTTGACAGGGAGAAGAGGACAGTTTTTAAATGTAGCACTGGCAGACTCAAACAGATTTATGCAAAGTATTTCCATTTGTACTTTCAAAGTAAAATTCTAAGGCTGGGTGCTGTGGCCCATGTGTGTAATCCCAGCACTTTGGGAGGCTGAGGCGGGTGGATTGCTTGAGGACAGAAGCTCAAGACCAGCCTGGCCAACATGGTGAAACCTCTTCTAAAAATACAAAAAATTAGCCAGGCATGGTGGGCATGCACCTGTAGTCCCAGCTATTGGGAGGCTGAGGCAGAAGAATAGCTTGAACCTGGGAGGAGGAAGGTTGCAGTGAGCCAAGATTGCACCACTGCCTTCCAGCCAAGGTGACAGAGACTGTCTCAAAACAAAAAACAAAAACAAACAAACAAAACCAAAGTTTGATATGTATCTAGTTTGCTATTTTTTTTTCCTTCTTGTCTCATTCTGAATCCAATCAGGAAAGAGGAAACACAGTAATTTAAATAGGAAAGGTTTAATATAAACAATTCTGCATTAAATGATGAGATTGGTGTACCTGGATCGACTAGTCAAGAGAAGATTCTAAAGAATACAGGAATAGCAGATATAAAGGAGCAGCCACTATTCCTAGGTCCCTTAGGTGAGATGGAGCATCCAAGGAAAAGCCCCTGCATTGGGCTGAGAGCCAGACTTTGTTAGAGAGAGCTTGGCTGTGGCTCACGGAATGGCACGGAAGTCCCTATGGTGGCATGCCCTCTGGAATTTGCTGGAAATTTATCCTCCAGGGTTCTGGGTAAAATTGTTGGGACTCACCAGAGGCATTGGGCTACAAAGCTGCTCAAGACTGGGGGCTGGTGTTGGGAAGGGGAGTGCTGCTGGCCTCTGGGGTCTACTGCCTCATCCCACACCCCACACACTTACCTCTTGCAGGAGCCTGCTGAGAGGGGCACAGGGAATCAGAAAGCAAAACCCCTTTTTGCCTCTTGAATTGTCTTTCTAGAATCCTTCCACTGACAAAGCTTAACATCATGCCAGCTGGCAAAGGAAAAACCTTTGAAGGTCCCAGAACTGTTTTCACAGGGCAGGCAAATTCACAGAGTGAATTTGGGGCTGAGAGGAAACAAGCTCATAACCAATACCCCTGGATATTGATTTGGCTATATTTTATGGTGATATTAAGTTAATTGTATCTTCTGACACTATTATCCACTTTTGAAAATTCAGGGTAATCCAGCACTAAAGTAGTGAATGTCTGTGCTTACTCAAAGGCCTCTTCTGAGAATCTGGAGTAGAATTTTTGTATTTTCTGTTGTTCCCATAAGGAATATTGAGAGCTTTTTTCTTTTCCAATAGCTGGTTATGTACTCAGACGATATTGAAAAGTTCTGCTAGATTTTTCAATCACTCTTTTATTTCCTTCCCAAGAAAATCTTGCTCCTGTTGTTTCTTCTCTTAGACTTTCTATTTTTATGGATGTGTGATTTTTTACACAGTCTATTTACTACCATTTCAGTTAAACACGGGAGCAAATGTCAAAGTATATTCAATTCATATTTTTACTTGGAAGTCTCTGTCCTGGTTTTAGGTGGTTTGTCTGCTGAAGGAGGTAGCCCATCCACTCTCATCCTCAGAAGCTGTTATCAGTCCATGCTACCCTCAACTTCATAGAGCATATGTCACATTCTTAGGGGTCCCATTGAAGCCCCATCTCATTTGAGGTAAGGAAATCAAAGCATACTTTTCTCCAAAGAAACTTTCCTCACTAAATTGTGTGAGCACTCCTTTTTTCAACTCGTTCAGGGTTCAATCAGAGAAACTGAACCAACAGGAGATACATGGTAGAAGATTTATGCAAGCAATTGACTTACACAATTGTGGGGACTGGCTAGGCAGATCTGGAAGGCAAGCCATCAGGAACAGCAAGCTGGAGCTTCGAGCAGCAGCTGCAGCTGCACGTGGGAGTGCTTATTCTTCAGGGAAGTCTCAGCTTTGCTTTTTAAGCTTTTCAACTGGTTGAAACCAGCCCATCCAGATTATTGCAATAATATCTCTACTGTCAACTGCTATGAACTTTATGTCTACCAAATGTCTTCTCAGCAACACCAAATTAGTGTTAGATGATTGAATAACTGGGAACTGTTGACAAGCTGACCCTAAAACTGACCATCACACCCTTATTATGGGTTGGGTGTTTTTAGAATTGTGAATCCAAACCAGTGCTTGGGTATTTCCTTTGAAAATCTGCATCTCCAGCATTTCTTACAGCAACAAATAATATTTTTCCAAAAAGTGACCCAGAAGTTGGAAGAAGCTCTTCACAAATATGGTAGTGTTTAATGACTGGACATTGGATTGTGACTTTTTTCAGTTCAAGGATAATTTCAACAGCAGAGTGAAAACTGCTATCAAAGGGCTATTGCTAACTATCAGTAGTGATACAAGGATGGTTTTGTGTTCAACCGAAACCCAGATGAATTTATAATTATGTAGGAAATAAACAGTTAATATGGTTATATAATAGAAACAGTATCAAACACTGTAACTGAATTATGTATGCCTACATTACCATTGTAACTTTTAGAATAATGATTATACTATTTGCCTCATTGCTTTTTGAAGTATGGGTATTTTAGTGTACATTTTATAGATCTCAAAACCCATGAAAGGTCTCAAAGAAGCTGGCTGGATAAAAGCCTGCTGTGGATGCCTTTTTACTCTCATAGATTGGGATGACCTAAATTTAACCTGTTCTCTGTTTACAAACTCCAACTAGAGCAGCTATGTGACTTTGTGCCTTTAGACATTTCTCCTGGTCCCTTCCTAACCTTTTTAAAGTAAGCCACAGCTTTTCTGACTGAAAGAGTGAAAGGCCAGTGCATATAATGACAAACTGATGATAACCTCATATTGGCAGTAGGGGGTGGGGTGGGATGGGGTGGAAGGATCAGCTGCCATAAATTTGTACAGCAAGTATTATCTCCTGATAAGATGCTGGTGAATGCAGGGGAGTGCAACTCATTGCTCACCTTTGGATATAAAGTCTATTAGGGAAGAAATGGTGCCACTATTCCCTTAGATCCAACAGTAGCATAGCCTTTTCACCCAGGCATTCCAAAAGCTTGGCATGATGATTTCAGCAAACATGTCTCACAACATGTGAAGGAGGAGTCTAAGTCAGGAATAAAAGTATGGAATCATTAGGCCGGGCGCGGTGGCTCAAGCCTGTAATCCCAGCACTTTGGGAGGCCGAGGCGGGTGGATCACGAGGTCGAGAGATTCGAGACCATCCTGGTCAACATGGTGAAACCCCGTGTCTACTAAAAATACAAAAAATTAGCTGGGCATGGTGGCGCGTACCTGTAATCCCAGCTACTTGGGAGGCTGAGGCAGGAGAATTGCCTGAACCCAGGAGGCAGAGGTTGCGGTGAGCCGAGATCGCACCATTGCACTCCAGCCTGGGTAACAAGAGCGCAACTCCGTCTCAAAAAAAAAAAAAAAAAAAAAAAAAAAAATGTATGGAATCATTGACAACACACACTCAGCTTCAATTCTTAGAAGGGTTTTGTTTTTGTTTTTAGCTTGAAGATTTTCTTTTAATATTCAGTTTTAAAAAAATGGATCTACACTGTTAACTGATTGAGACTCCACTGTGATTCACTCATTTACTTAAAAACCTTTCAAGGATGTCTGTCAACTTCAGTGTTATACGTCATGAAAAGTGGTGTTGATTGATCTAAGGATGAACCAGAAATAATTTTTGCTATACCAAATACTGAAGGAAAAAAGATAATTGATTTATACTGTGTTTTTTTTTTAAAGCATTGATAAGTCCTTCAGGATATTTAACTTTACATTTATTTTAAATATATTCTTTTATTATTATAAGGGTGATACAGATGGCTGATAAATACCAAAAATATTCAAAAGCAGCTTAATGTAAAAAATACAAAGAGATTCTGGCTTGTAGTGCCACAATCTCTATGTTTTCATAATTGCTGAGCTAACTAATGTGACTGAGTTTACAGATTTAAAAAGTGTCACTATTAAAGTATCTACTGTTTTTATGAAGTCAAACTTATACTGCCGCAGAAATCTCTCGGTACTGAAATGGTAACACGGAAGTGAAGAGGTCACTTTGAAATATCAGTGAGTCACAAAGATTAAAGAAAAGGATCAGTTTGTAGGTACTCATAAAAAGAAAGGGTTAATGAAATAATACTCAACAGCACATTTACTCTCTAAAAAGTAGTTTCATATGGGTATCAGATTATCATAATTTTGATATTTG